AGTCTTTTTAGACTTACTTTGGCTCTACACTAATTAATTATTTCTTTTATTTGCAGTGCGCTATACCAATGAGACTCTTTCTTTTCGTCACTATTTTGGAAATGAAGGTGGCGTAGATTAGAACATGCTATTTAATCTACGCCAAGAACTTCCCATCTTCCGCGGTGCTAATAAGGAACGTGCTGAAGCGGTTACCCATGACTCCTCAGGAACACTCCGTGTTTTGGTCACAGATGCCAGATTTGAATCTCTGGACCACACAAAGTTTATCAAGCCGACGTTCCTATTCGGGGACTCTGTTGACTTGGAAGCAGATCTCACCTATGATGGAAATTACAAGTGCCTGAGGAAAGTTAGGGACCACCATCTTTTCTTATCCATATGGAGAGGATATATCCTATATCCTACTTTCAATGTACTTCCATCCCCAGACACATGGACTGGGACCTCGTTAAAGAACAAGACGGGGTTGCCATTGGAGCTTTGACCTTCCATGGTGTTCGCTCAGTGGGCTATAACCGACAGGTGACAGCCTTGGGACCAAGCTTATTTGCTAAGGAATACCTTGTCGGTGAGGTGGCTGGCCCGACGACCATTTTTGTTAGAAGATTTATGACGGCGAAAGGTGAATTTTCCGCCAATGAGTTCAGATCCCCCGGATGGGTACATTCTTCTGTTACGAGGTGGTGGAATCGAATGACAAAATTTGTCTTAGAAGAATTAGAGGCACCTCTTGCCCGGTCTGGCCTGAGGATTCCCGTGATGGCCACTAAATACGGTATCACCCAGAGCCACTATAATTTCTTTTTCATACTGGAGCGATACAACCCGAAAACCTGCACCTTCTTTAATCCGGTGGGGGAATTGTGTTCGATATGCACGAGATGTATGACATCTCCGGTCTTCCTTTTGGGGATCTGCCATACGGGGAGTTCATCCCGGGAGCAAGTGAGCTTAAGACTTTGAGGACAACTAGCCCCGAAATTTACTCAACTCTCTGGAAAGGCATGTGCCATTTTCATATCTGCACCCAATTGACAGGGGTCAGGGAAGTGGTGTTAAACAAGTATCCTGGACAGAATACTTGTTTCATAACTTGGACAATAAGGGAGGCTTCGTGTCTCGTTTGGCTGTGAGCACTCCGGAGGAAATCCAGACCCAAACCGACGCTGCTACTGCTCACTACCTCAATGAGGCCAAAGAATATATTTTCCCCAGCATACACTAAGTTTGAGAGATTTCATTATCAAGCTCAGAATCCTATCTCGGACGTGACGTTGTTGGATGGATTTTTGATGCTTTGGCTGAAGCGATGCGTGGTCCCCATCAGGCCGATAAATGCTCTCGTTACCGAGGTGGTCTATCCAACTGTTCTTCTAGCTCATGGGAGACCATTGAATATTCTTTCAGCTATGATGTGCTGTTTACAGAGTGGCTTGCGAGAGCTGGCTCTAGATTTTATTCAGGTTAAGGAGGTGGGGTCTGGTGACAATAGAACTCTTAAGACCCCGAATCCTCGCGTACCGATGCCATATACCTACTTGATGGCATTGTACGTGTCACACTGTCCCTCCCAGATGAGTGCGGCCTCAGCCCAAGGTGACTCATTCATCCCGCCTGTACAACGACTTGAGTCAGCAAAGTGGGAGGGGACATATATGGTTAAGATCCGCCAAATTCTGGCAAAGGATCTTAATTACCATATCTTCCGCTACTTTCCAGACTTCGAAGGTGGGGGGTATAAGAGGGTGTTCCAAGATGTGGCGGGTCCCAATGGGTTCACCCAACTGAATAGTGGTGTTTTCCGTTGGCTACTCAACATCAGACCGGGTTACTCGATCTTTCAGCAGGGTGGGAAATGTTTCATTGAGCCATATCAGCCATACAGATTTGCTCACCAATTTGGATATGACCAACTATATATTGGAAATCCTAGGCCTTGACTTGTAGTTGTTGGCAATCTGTATGAGGGGGCCAGGGCCTGGTACTACTCAGTGACCGGTTGTACCAAGGCCATGTTCAGGCTCCCTCACAAAACGCCCAACTCTTTTACCTCCATGGGCTTCTGCAATTGGTATCATGCTACGCCTCAGAATCCCGAATATAAACTAAATGTATCATGTCTGAAAGAGATCAGACGGATGTATGCTTCCAAGAGGGGATCTAAGACGTCTCGTTTAAGGGGAATAGCGAGTACTTGGATTTTGAAGAAACAACCCCTGAGGAGGGAGGGGGTCAGACAGTTGAAGAGGCTCTAGCAGAGGAACCTCAGACAACTAAAACTCCAAGAACAAGGGCAGGCGGGAAAAGGGCTCTTACTGCAGGGGAAGCCAGTCAGTATGAAAGACGGACCTGTCGAAGGTTGATGGTCGGACCTCTCCTGTTAAAAGCCAACGGGAGGGGAGATTGATGGCGGATGCTTTGAAGTTCGTGGAGGAGATGAAAGACAAGAGTCTTCTGTTGCAAGTCTTCCTTGTAGAACTGGGCTTCGTTCAATGGGTCCTGCTTTGTTAGGTGGATCTTCTTCCTACTGAAAGTGTTCTGATACCAATTGAAAGTATCCTAATGCCACTAGGAAAGAACCCTAAAGGGGGTGAATAGGTTTTATGCTAATCTAATCTCATTTAATGCAGATTAAAACTAATTAACAAGTTATCCTAGAAAATAAGATATGTAATGAGTTATTAGCAAGGATAAGCAATATGAACAAGGGCGAAACAAGATAAACAAAAGATATAATTATGATAGGGCAATGTAAATAATGCAAACACACAATATGATCACAGAGTTCGGACCTTTCGTCCTACGTCTCCGCTCCCCACTCCCAGGGAGAATTCCACTATCACACCGGGTTTTTTACGCTTACCCGAAAAATGTTTACACTTCACAATGTCGGTTTTCAACGCTCACTGATCAACGTTCACAATCACTCATAATATAACTACACTAACTATCACCTCAAGTGCTGGTCTCTAGCCCGTGTCTCCCTCAAGTGTTAGGAATTATAACATCTCTCTAGGTATTACCACCTACCCCACTCCTCTTGAGACGACCACGTCTCTCACCACACACTCCTCTTGGTGTGTGTAATACAAAGAGAATCCTCATAATTAAGCACAAATACACTTCACACAATTGCAAATACACTTCATACCCTCTAAGTGTTGGCCTAGCCCGTGTCACCTTCCTCAAATGTTCGGAATTACCACCTCTCACTAGGCTTTACTACCGACCCCACTCCTCTTAGAACTGATCTCGTCTCTCACCAATCACTTTTCTCGGTGTCCAAGTATAATACAATGTGCAACTCTCACAATTAAAGCTCACAACAAATGATTGTTCTTTAAACAAAGTGAGAACTCAATTAAACACAACTCAATGTTATAATCTCTCACAACCCCAATATATTATGTATGTAAATACTAAAAGCTCAAGTGGGTGTGTGTAACAATAAGATTTAATAAAACAAAATCAAACTAAATTCAATTATAAAAATCTAGCTTATAGAGATGATAATCAACAAACAATATAAATACAAAGCTAGAAATTAAGTTTAGAAAACTTTTCTATAGATAACAAGAGAGAGGGAGAAGAGTGAATGCTCAAACACTAAAGGATGATCTTCACTTGCTCTTGTGAAAGTTACTTCACAAACTTAAAACTCAAAACTTAAACTTGAAACAAACACTAAACACCCTTTAAACTTGTTAAACCTCTTTTAAAACTTTTCTTAATTACTTCAGAATGTTAGAAGGCAAGGGGTATATATAGGATCAAGAAACAAAGCCAAAACCCAAGAAAACCAAGCAAAAAAGACAAAATAATGGAAATATGAAAATCAGGAAAAACTAGCTGTTATGATGCCGTCGGTCGACTGATACTGTTCATCAGTCGACTGATCTCATCAGTCGACTGGTCAGTCGACCAGAAGAAAAACAAACAGTTTCAGAGTTCTAGAATTTTGCATATCTAAATTTATAAAATCAATTAAAAATAGTAAATAAAATCCAAATATCATGAAATTTTGAGGGAATGTTCTAGGCATGTAGATAAACATGCTAGAGAAAGAATTTCTAAAAGATTACTTCCCACTTTAGAGAAATAAATATTTGAACACAGATATTACAGTTTCTGAAAACTGCTGAAACACTCGACTTTGTAAAATCAATTGGACACTGTAAATCAACTCCAAAATTCATGAAATTTTGAGGAACGTTTCTAAACATGTATGTGAACATGTTAGAGAAAGAATTTTTTATATATCACTTATCATTTGAGATAAATAATTTATTTTGTAAACTGGTCAAAAAACTAAAAAACTAAAAACTGCAAACAGGTCATCGGTCGACACATCAGTCGACTGATCAGTCGACTGAAACAAATCAGAGAGAAAATAAAGATTCTAGGCACATTCATTAGTTGACTGATCAATCGACTGAAATCATCAGTCGACTGATAACACACTATCAGCCTGTTTAAAATTAAAAAACTAATTTTTGAAGTGCCTTTAAAAATAGCAAACAAATTCTAAAAATTATGAAACTTTGAGAAATATTTATAAACATGTAAATGAACATGTTACAAAAATAATTTTTGGAATTGCACTTCACATTTATAAAATATTATTATTTTATAAAATAGTCCAAAACATAAAAACTAAACATACATGTTTTTGTCATTTGACATAAACACAATATTAAAACTTTTATAAAATGATTTTATAGACTTAATGAATTGATATAAAATATTGTTATAAAGTTCATAAATAAATAATTAAATATTTTCACAAATTTATTTTTGTATAAACTTGAAAACTATAAAACCAAATCATGTATATATATATATTGTATGGGGTTCCTGCTTTCACTAGTAGAAGTACGCGTCCTAGACGGACGGACCTTTCTTAATGGCTTGTGTCCGTCTAAATTGCGGAGATTTCTACTAGTGAAAGCAGGAACCCATATAAACAATCAAAGAACTAAATAACATACGCAACAAAATAAGCAACTTCGGAGCCTGAAAAATTCTCAAGAAATAACATTTAAACAAACATTAGTACAAATCAGTCACACCCACATCCTAAACAGAACTAGGAACCAAAAAACTACATAAGCGGAATTATTCAGCACTCTCAAACTATAGTACAAATAATTTTAAGAAAAATCGACCGCGACAACAAAGGTATGCTTCTAGATATTCTGCAACTGAGAGAAGGATATCCTGATGATAGCCTCATCAATAGTACTTGCGTGCTTGCAAACAAGAGCCTCGGTTGCTTGCTCCTCATCCTCAAACATAACCAGAGCTTGCTTCTTCCCATTTGCTTCAAAAACTTTGGAGTTGACAATGGTTCCGTGCTCCTCTAAGTGGGCTATGATATCTTCCTCCGTGATGTCTTGAGGAAGTGTGGAGATATGTATTATTTTGGTTGGAGAGCAGCAGTATCGGTAGTTTTTGGCTGCATTGCGGTTGAAACGGTTCAGGCTGGACCCCGCGTACTCGTGGGCATCGGCAGATGGTGTTATGTTTGAGAATTTTGAATAGTTCACTTCCAACCTCCTTCCAAACAATATAGCTCCCTGAACATATTAAGAAAGAATTATGTATATAGGGGTCCAGACGCTAACAAAAAGTTTTCAAGGATAATTAGCTGCCATAGCAAGAATACGAGGGCAGTGTATCTACAAATCAAGGTTTTAAATATCAGATTTCGTGAAAATATCATATAGCCAAAATTCATATTGATTGCGGATATGGGGGAAATATCACGAAATGTGGTAAATATCGGAATGCCATAACATATGCTTGCACATATAGTATAATGCAGTAAAATATAATCTCAACATACCCGCTATAGCTAGGTACGAGGGGAGTGTATCTACAGATCAAGGTTTTAAATATTGTATGGGGAATTATATCAAGGTTTTAAATATTGTATGGGGAATTATATCAAGGTTTTAAATATTGTATGGGGAATTATATCAAGGTTTTAAATATTGTATGGGGAATTATATCAAGGTTTTAAATATTGTATGGGGAATTATATCAAGGTTTTAAATATTGTATGGGGAATTATCAGATAGCCAAAATTCATATCGGATTGCGGATATGGGGGAAATATCAAGGATATGTGGTAAATATCGAAATGCCATAACAAATATTTGCATATATAGTATAATGCAATAAAATGTAAGCTTAACATACTTAATGAAATCTAAGCATACAAAATGTAGATAATATATGTTTAGGATTGCTAATCAACCTTGTAAAACAAATAAAAGTACAAATCAACATTGTAAAATTTCATCTGATTTTTTTAGGCCAAATGTCATTTGATATAATGGGAAAATCATGATCTTGCCCAAAAATTGCCAAACACAGCATATTGTTTCACGACGAACCATATAAAAGGATACATCAGCCAACATATTGGCTGACATATCGGCGATATCGGGGATATATCTCCTAAAATAGCAAAAAAAGGGTAAAGTATTTCGCGACCATATTGGTTGTGATAAGCACAGTAAAAGGATATATCAGGCGATATATCTGACCCCGTCAAGGATATTTAAAACAATGTTACAAATAACTCTATGTAATATGGATTTGGATCCTCTCCGCTGCCTGGTAGTGGAACTTTTCATCACGGGCATCTATTTAGTGGATGGTTGTGATTCATCTTGAGTGAAAATGGAAATGGATGAAACCCGGGAGATATGGTAATGGCTAAGATTTTGAATGAATCACTACCACCTACACATTAATAAACGGATAAGACTAATGTGGTGGAAGAGGGTGCAAATCCATTTTTACAAAACCTATGAATATGAAAGGACTCAATCTATCTAGTTTCACCAGATCTCCAAGTTTATGCTTTTGCTGGTCAAGAAGAAATTTGACAACCCATCCATATCTTGCTTATAGTTCACTGACTAATTCATTTTTCAACTTTCTAATTGATTTTTTCAATCTGAAGTTAGCTAGATTGTTTTTTTATAGGAAAACGGGGAACACAGTTTAACAATTGACTGTATAATTAACAAACTAGAAATTTCCTAATACTCAGAAAATTCAGTAAGTGTATGACCACCAAACGAAAAATGCTAATTTTTTTAAGTTATAATAAAGGCAATAAGCAAACCTTCAAGAAATGTACAGCTAATTCAGCCTGGAAACCATCTGCCATCTCAACAAGCGCATGATCAGGCTTATTGTGTAGTATTTTAATTCTTATAATATTCCCATACAAGGAAAATAAATTAAAAATCTTGTCCGCATCAATTTTCTGCAGGAAAGAGAAAATAGAAGGATTAAAGGGATGACACTGGAGAAACACGAAAGAAAGGTAAAAGAGCTCTATGAACGTAAAAGATAATAATCACCTCGGAATCCAAATTTGATACTAGAATAGTGCATGCAGTGTTAGTACCAGATATCCCAGGAGGCAGACCTCCACCAAATGCAGCTGCAACAGCTGCAGCATTACCCATCTAACAATACAGTGGAATCATCTCATGAGAGAAGTTGTGTATTTACATATAAAACATTAAACATCAAATTAAAAAAAAAGAGAGAAGAAATTAGACAGGAAAATAGACAATTGAGATGATTGCATCTCATCACATGTAACCAGAACTGGACTAAGCCTCACCCACCTGTGGAAATGCAACTGAAATAGAAAAAAAGTAAAACAAAGATGAATTAGCAAAATGTGAAAAATGCAAGAAATGAGCATGAGGGAGAAAGAAAGTATGAAGCAAGCACCTGCCCTGGCTCCATGAGGGAATGCATACAAGCCTCCAACATCTCCAAACCCCTGCTGGCATGAAAATATACAGATAAAACAGCAAACAACATTATTTCATGGCTTCAAGCCAAAAAGATTTCAAAATATAGGTACTGCCAACTAGCTATTCAAAAGTATGATAAAGATACTTACTTGGGAGGATCTACCTCTTTGTTCTGAAGGCAAAGATGGATTGGTGAAATCTCTGAGCATACACACCACAAATAAACTTGTGATTAAGAAAATTCTTTGAAAGAGGGGAAAAGAAGACAATAGGACAGAAAAGATAAAACAGTCATCAATGACAAGAGAAAGAAAGAGATGTTATTTTAGAACCATTATTTCAAAAAAGCATTAGGTGCTTTTGGGTGTCGTCCTGGCGCCTGGTACCTAGAGCAGGCACCTAAGTGCCGCGTAAGTATCTTTTGGCCCATGCATGCGGACACACAAATACATGCAGATATAATTATTTATTTATTATTTAAAATCTCTACTAAATATATAGAACTCTTTAAAGGTGCAGAATATCTAGAAAAAGAATAAAGAGAGGAGAAAAAGAAGAAATATGATGAAAGAAGAAAAAGGAAGAAGATTATGAAGTTCAAGATTTGTTTGTAAATATGAGTAGATAACACTAATACAAAAATAAATCAAAAACAATTTTTTTCCGAAGTCAAGGAGGCAGCTCCGTTGATGGTTAGGGCTTGATGGTTCATGGTTGTGCCTCTAGAAGTTGTTTGACAGAAGAGACTCGGGCCTCCGGAGACAGAGAAGAGGAAAATGGCTTTCTGCAAATAAAAAAGCCTAGCTCTCTTTGCGCTACTGGGCTTAGAATCCAGGACAGAACTCGTAAACTTCACATCATGCTCAAAAGGGCTGTACAATAGTTTCTTATGTTATGTGACACATGGAAGTAGTATGCATCTGCCTAGGAATCCCCAAAGCAGCCTAGGCTCCATTCCAACTGGCTAGGCACCAATGAGGACACCCATACCACTTTTAAAACAAAGTTCAGAGCATCAGGCAAAGGATTTATTCTGATTGTCAAGGGTGATTTTGTTAACATTCAAGCATAATACGTGGTTTGGCAGCAAACAACTTGCTTTAACACTTTGCTATGTTCAAAAACTTTCAAAAATAAACTGATAAGCTAACTATTATATAATGGAAACAACATATTTCACTAAATTAACAGACAAAGCTTAGTCAATATAAACATACCTAGAGCGATCATTGTTGTAATTAACTTGCAGTTCATTAAGGCTGCATTGTGAACAAAGAAGGGAGATTGGTAAGCTTTACAGAAAAAAGAGACTAACACAAGGGGAAAAGTGAGTTTAGTACTTGGAAAATTGTATATCTAGCTGACAACAAGCATCATATATATTGCGTCCCTGCACCCCAAAAAAATCATCATCAAATCTCATCAAGGAAAACCTTCTCAAGACAGCCAATATTGCATCCATCTTACGGAATGTGTTACTTACTTGCAGGTTATTCCTTGCTTGCACAGCACATTGGGTTGATTGATATTGTATAAGGGCTTGGAAACCTACATGAATAAAGAAAATAGTTGAATTTTTTTTGGGGGGGCCAGTATTCAATTGTTTACTTTGATGATCCACGATTGTGAATAAACCATGTTCTATGGTTGTCCCACGAAAAAGGGAAAGCAGAGGAAAACGAAAGCATTTCAATGTTTCACTGTCAAGAGGCTTAAAGCGGTAGCTACAAAAGACAGCTGAAATGAATACAAGTGCCGCTGACAAAGTAAAGGACTAATAAATCAGGTTCACCTATAAGTTTTTAAAAAGCTCAAAAGATACTATAAAAAAGAGATGGAAACATGAAGCTGACCAGCTGACTTCTGAAATGTGACGATCTTCTCCACAAACCCATGAGGAGAAAACACTTGATGCAGCACTTCCACAGTTATAGGATAGAGCATGTGATGTATTGTAACTAAAAGGATCCGATTGGGTTCTGAATCCTGAGTGTCCAACAGCAGATTGACATAGAGACAGAAGAAAGAGAGAGAAGAATAAATAGAGAAGAATAGGTAGAGAAGAATTACTAGCAGGAAAGAAAGATTAAGAGAAAGAACATATTAAAACTCTTCAGTTTGTTAGAGAAATAAGAAAAGAACTAAACACAAAGGGCTAGAAAAATACAAAGAAACTACCAAATACGATCAGCTAAATATAACATCACCCACCATCCTGTTTTAGCCTCAATGCATCTAACATGTCAAGCAGCAAGCTGAGTGCAATGAGCACAAAAATAGGCTCGCTTCAAACAATCTTGACCAAGTGCCATATGACTATCACCTCATTGGTTAGTCAGATGGTGTGATGAATAAGCATGCCAGTAGCATCCACTGTCTAAGATAACAAGAACACCAAGTGTATCAAGAACACCAAGTGTATCATGCCCTGTTATTTATTGCAGACTAAAATGTCTCTTCCAAACATTTTTCAAAACACGTCTCAAATTTTAAAAATTTAATATGCAAATTTTTAGTACATATATTGCGGAAGCTCTGATATTATCTTAGTGTACTGTTACTTACTGAGCTATGTTAAGTCATGCCTGATTTCCATGTAAGGATTTATAAATAATTATGTAATAGAATGACCCCCACTATGGTAGTTTCTGGCCTTGCTCTCATTCAACTTTCAGCACATATCTATAGAGGAGAATTAACATAATTTCCAACACATAAACCATGCTTACCAAAGTAGAAAGTAATAGGTAAACCAAATATGAGTCCTCCATGTCAGGAACCCATTCAATAGTAACCAGACAAATTACTGGCAAACATAAAATATTAGAACCAAAACATAGAACACACCCTAAATAGTAAGTTAAGGGCTATTGTCATTATTGTTCCAGAAGAATTAATGGCGTCAATAAGAGTATGCAAAGTTCAGCGCAAGTAAGCTATACACTTCAAAATGCAGTTATGCTTGAACTTTTGTAACATTATAGCCAATTTTGCTTATAATGCACTCTGCTGTTGCAAATCCAGATAGAGTTTTGAGTTTTCTATGATGATGCGCCTAGCACAAATGATTTGAGGAACTGGATTTCCTAGCATTTAAGAAACAGATCACTTGAGGTAAGTGCAAAGGCCTAGTAACATACTCACTAAATGAACCATGACACCTAGCCTCATCCAGGCTGAAGTGTGTTAAATACTACACTGTTTGAGGAGACTACTTCAGTATTTGCGTTCAACAACAAAGATGAATTTCTCTTCTTCTCAATATGACAACGCAAAAACAAGTTACCTGTCTAACTAAATGTCAACATGAAAGCAAACTAGTACCAAAAAAACTAAACCTGCAGCAGGTTCTATGTCAAAATAAAAATGAGCAGTGTTTTAAAAAGCGGCCTAGTCGGATGCCTACCCGTAGGTGGACCAATTTTCGCCTAGATTTGGCTGGAGTGGCCAATCTAGCGGCCTAGGGCTAGGTGTCCGCTTAGGCAGACCGCCTAGCTTTTTAAACCACAAAAAATGAAAGAAAAACCCAAAAAAACCCAGCCCAATCAAGCCCAAATACTAAAACCCAAACCCGACCCGTTACTTAACCTAGCTAACCTTAAAGTTGTTTCTCTCTCTCTCATTTTCTCTCTCGTTCTCTCCCCAACCCAACCGCCCACCTCCAACTTCTCCTCCACCTCCGCAACCTCCGCTCTATCCTCGTCTCTCCCTCTGCCTCCTCCTCCACCTCCTCTCCCTCCGTGATCAAA